AGCTCATCGAAGTGGCTTGTCATCATCGCGTGGGCCATGTACAGCAGTTGCCAAACACTCCAAACGCGCACCACTTCTGTTTCCGGGCCCCCAATGAGCCTGCGCCACCGCCACGGTGGACGTGCTCCATCCCCAAAGAGCACGGCCCACGAATCGCCCTGGCCCCAGAATGCAGCCCCCCTCAGTCGTCTTGTCCTCTCGCAGGCAGCTAAAGCCGCCCCCCACCGCCGCCGCCGCTGCCGCCATAGCTTCGCTTGCGCCGCTGCTGGCGCGTTACGTCGGTGCCGGCGCAGAGATTCCGTCGCGTGCTTCTGCCGTTCGCCTAAAGATGCGGGGGGAGGAGGGAGGGGCGGTCGCGTTGCCCGCCCGCACTCCAGCCGTGGCTACGAGCGCAGGGCACGAGGGAGGATCGGCGGCTGCCGCTCGGGTTGTCAATTCACTCAATCGCTCCGCCCCGCGCGGTGGAAATTGTGTGCGGAGGCGCGTGCCGCCGAGATGAACTTCGATGTGGCCTTCGAGTCTCCCGCGTTGTGCGCTCGAAGTTACGACTCCTTTTGTGCCAGAGTCATTCGCCCCGGTGGCCTCGCAAACTTTATTCGTTTCACGGTTCCGCGAAAACATTTCTTCGCGTGCAAAAAATGCAGGCCGCGTCGCGGTTTGCTCGGCGCACGCACCACACACACGTCACGTGCGGTCGCTTTGACAATCCGCTGCTGGATGAGGAGGGCTTGCCTACAAGCGTGCCGGTCATGGGGGGGGGTTGTTTGACCATACTTGGCCATGCTGGTGAGTGCGGGTTGGTGAAGGGGGGCGGGGGGTGCTCTCCGCAGACTTGTTCAAAGATCGCTCGCCGCTGACGTTCGACTTAGCCGGGAATCGAACTTGGGTCACTGGGCTCAGAGTCCAGTGTGCTCAGAATTTTTTTCTTTATTATGAGAATCTTCATTTAGACTGGAGGAATCCGATGAGCTATGAAGCTCCTTTTGAAGGATGTCCATTAGTGCTAACCAGTGCGCACACAAACACATATACATGTACAGGCCGCTGCTAATCCACTGCTGGATAAGCGTCTATCAATGCCACATGAGTCGTGGGGGAGTTCGTTGACAAAACATGGTAAGTGCCGCTTGTTGAATGCAGGGAGCATGGACACAGGGTCATAGAAAGTAGAGTACAACACTGTTGCACTTTCCTATGCTGACCCTCATGTAGCCCAGTCCTCGTTCATGTGGGGTCAGAGTCGCATCTTGATGACATGTGACAACACGCTACCCTGGGCAGTGTGCCACACTTGCCGGTGACCACACTGTGAGCACCTTTGTATCATTTGCTATTGAACACGAGAACACAAACACTAATGTCAGAATCGGAATGTTTATTTATACTGGAGGAATCTGATGAGCTATAAAGTTATGTTTTTTTACAGATGTCCAGTAGGGGCACGGGGTAAGAATGTTACAACAACAAACAGCACAAACACACGATCTGAGTACAAAGTACAAGAAAGGTAAACAAATCACCCAAACACACACAAATACGTACTCTGGTTCTTTCCGTAAAGTCACGTAGGTAGAAAAAAGAATAGATCACGACGTTTCAATCGCAACGATTGCTTGTGTTGCGATCGAAACGTCGTGATCTATTATTTTTTCTACCTACGTGACTTTACCGAAATAACCAAAGAGTATGGATTCCTGCAGTCACGAAAGCTTCAAATCAAGACGCACAAATGCAACAACTAAACCATCCTACCAGGAAAAGCCCACTGATCTATTAACTTGTTTTTCAGAAGCGACCTGGCCACAAATGAAAGCTCGATAAAGTGGCACGATCATTTGGATAATTTATAGCTCCAAAATAATCTAAATAGTCTCAATCTAGGTGAGATGTTATCTCCCTTCGCCTGCTACGCAGCGGGAGATCGTGAATCGCGACCCTGATGAGGGCGCTTCTTGTATATTTGGATTCCGCGTGTTCTCTCTCTCTCTGTCCCTCTCCCCGTGACGATCTCGTGGATTTTTTCCCGGGGATCCTCCAATGCCGCCACCATCCCCATTTAGAAACAACATCGCGCGTTCGGATTACTTGCAGGCTGCTGTCAATTGCCACGCATAATCATGACGATTGATGAGCTATCTTATTTTGTGTTTGTTTTACATGTACTGAGAACACTGTATAGTACATAAGTTACGTGCGATAAACACACGTACTTATGTCGAACATGCAAGTGACGAGCAGAACCCGTCATCACAACATCATCACAACATCTACAACTATTTTAGGCCGGAAAACCATGAGTTTTGCACAACATGCAAAAAAAACGAGTCCAGCAAAGCATACAAGGCCCCCCCCCCCTCTTTGTGCACTATGCAAAAAATCGTAGCAGCTGTTCCTGAAGGGCAGCATTGCGTTTCGCTTATCGTAGGCCTCCATCGAAAAGATTTGAACAGACAGGGCAGCCGTGATGCGGCAAGCAGACCGGCTTCGTCGTTATTGAGACTCGTCGGCACTGCGTTATCGACGCCCAAATGCCCGCTGCTGCAAAGTCGTCTGCCTCTGGCAACCGTATTACAGGGTGCTTCAAAAAAATGTTAACGCTCATATGGGACTATCGTTTTTAATGGAAAAAGAACGGCTAATACAGTGTAACATGATAACGAATCTATGTTAATAGCTCCAAAAAGTCAAGGTCTCCACTTGTTCGCCATCATCGTCAACACGTTGCCTGGAATCTTGTCCAGGTGGTCTCCAGAGCCCAGAGGCTCATTGCTTGTAGGTATTGTTGCAAATTCTCAGAAGTGTCAACATTTCTTTGAAGCATCCTGCATATAAATATGTATGGCCAAGGCCCTCTCACTTCTCCTCGAATGGGGACCGTGCATACAGGTGTTGATTGCTTTTTTGCTTGCATCGAATGTCGTTGACGATCGCAACTTGCCAGCACTGTTCATCAGTTAGCAGAACCAGGACTGTCACTCTCCCTACGGAGTGCGACAAGCCAGGGTTTAGATTTCATTTTTACAGTGTGCATGGCAATCTGCCTCCTCGGATTCTTAAATCGTGATTACCAAGTCAAAGATGATAATGCGAGTGTGTGTGTGGCCACGCCTTGTTGATTTATCAGCTTAGGGCTGGTTTTTATTATCGATGCCAGTCAAACACACCCAGACACCCGGAGGGCTTTGCTCATGCGTGGGCATAACTGCATTTCTGTGCTTGCATTGAAGGGCAAAGCACTCAGAGGTGACTGGCAAACAGGTGAAAGCCTAATTATGGCAGTTTTGAGAAACCAAAAAGAAGAAAATCTGGATTTTTCAACCCTGTTGTCCTTAACTCCTTAACTTTAAACGTGAGGTAATGTCTAAGTATCTTCCTTTCAAGTGAGGCACTGAATGAGACCACTTTTGAAAAATTGCACGTCTTGTGTGTGTGTGTAGAACCATGTGAGAGTGAGTGTGTGTGTGTGTCCGTGTGTAGCTGCGCGTGTGTCCGTACGTGTGTGTCCGTACGTGTGTGTGTGTAGAGCCATGTGAGAGTGAGTGTGTGTGTGTCCGTGTGTAGCTGCGTGTGTGTCCGTACGTGTGTGTGTGTGTGTAGAGCCATGTGAGAGTGAGTGTGTGTGTGTGTCCGTGTGTAGCTGCGTGTGTGTCCGTACGTGTGTGTGTGTGTGTAGAGCCATGTGAGAGTGAGTGTGTGTGTGTCCGTGTGTAGCTGCGCGTGTGTCCGTACATGTGTGTGTGTAGAGCCATGTGAGAGTGAGTGTGTGTGTGTCCGTGTGTAGCTGCGCGTGTGTCCGTACGTGTGTGTGTGTGTGAAGCTGCGCGTGTGTGTCTGTCCTTGTAAAGGAGCTGTGGTGCAGCGGTTAGCGCGCTGCGCTACAAACCCGGCCAACCCGAATTCGTTCCCGCTCACGGACAACACCAGTGACGATTACCTCAACCGGTCCTGGGCCTCCCCTAGGTCGACCCGGTGCAGTGTATAAACATCGCCACTGGAGAGACAAAGGCGGTCGGGCCTGATGCTGGCCACTCACCCCCTCGTGTGCCGTGCCGGCCTTCATAGGTGCCCGCAATAAGCACTTGCCCCAACAGTCTGCTAAGGCTACACGGGTTTTCTTGTCCGTGTGTACTGGTTGCGGAGCGTATCGCAGTGGTCAGTGAGCGCAGCGTGAACTACAGACCCAGTTTTCCAGGTTTAACTCCTAGCTATGCGCAGCAAGGGGGGGCGTGCGGGTGGGGTGGTGCATGTGGTGCTGGGCGTGAAACATCTCCAGGTCAACTCGGCCTGAAATGAGTGCCTGACACAATGTGGGCCCACACCAGTTCAGAATGCACGAGGTCTGTTGCGGCTGATCCGGCGCCGGCCACGCCGCCTTGCTCATGGCCATGCCAGCCGAAAGTGGCCCTCGCTAACAGCGCTTGCCTGACAAGTCCAGAACGCCGGGCAGGGGATCTTCATCTCTGCAAAAAAATGTTTTAGTGCGTAGGCGGTTGTGTGTGGGACTGACTTTGGATAAAAGGCAGCGATCTAACCGCCTTAACACGATACTGAAGAGTGAGTGACACGCGCTCTGCGTGTCTCCACCAGATCCCTCGCCACCATCGTCACTCACACGCCGCTTGAAATTGGTTCTGCGAGCTTTTGACTGTGCAGAGTCGCACAGCGTGGCCGGCCTGAGTGCAAGACGTGTCCGTCCATGCGTGCGTGCGTCTTCCCATCTGTCTGTCCACCAGATCCCTCGCCATGATTCTTTAGCTCAGTCCTACGATCCTCGGGCCTGCACAACGTTACAAAGTGTGGCCGGTGCGAGTGCATGACGCGTCCGTGCGTCCGTCCGTGCATGCGTCTACCCATCTGTCTGTCCGTCCAACAGATCTCTCATCACCGCCATCGTCATTAACGAGACGCTGTAGCTCGGTCCTACGATCCTCGTGCCCGCGCAAAGTCGCGCGGCGTGGCCGGTGCGAGTGCATGACCGTGCGTCCGTTTGCGTCCGCCAGATCTACCGGCACGGGGAGCTGCAGCACTTTGTGGACGGCTGGGACGTGAGCCGCAGCAACTGGATGCGCTTCGTGAACCCGGCGCGGTCGCGGCGCGAGCAGAACCTGGTGGCGTGCCAGCACGGCGACGACGTCTTCTTTTACACGCTGCGCGGGGTCTCCCCCGGGCGCGAGCTGCTCGTGTGGTACTCGCCCGAGTACACGCGGCGCATGGGCCAGGCACACCACCGGCTGCAAGGTGAGCGCGCGTGGTGAGCGCGCGTGGGTGAGCGACGTCGTGTTTGCACCGCGGTGGGCGTCGGTGAGCGCCGCTTGGTCGATGTGGCGAGTGGTGTAGTGAGTGATGCGGTGAGCGGTAGTTGCACTGAACTTTCATAGCACAGGCTCGCCGGCTGCAGGGTTAACAGCCCCGGTGAGGATTCGTGATGCGAAAATATGCAGTGAAGAAGAGCTTCTCTTGAGCCCGTGTAGTGGTGAAGCAGAATATCGTTCCTTCGCAGCTGGCGATCAAAGCTGCGTCCTAGTCGTTATTTTAGTGCCGATTTGAGGCGTTTTCAACAGACGAGAACATTCAGGTCCTCGCTTCGACACTCGCTCTCGGAAAGAAATGCTGGGTCACAGCCTAACGTGGTTCAGTACTTGTGTGCACTCTTAAATAAGTGCAGTGATAGTCATACCACGAGGACAAAATTCCATTTACAAAAAAACCAAGTCCACATGCACCAGTTGTCCATATTGCGCAAGCGTTACACGTGTGTCTAACAATGGATAGTTTGTATTCCAAATAGAAGGAAATAAGGAAACGCTGCGCAAAATATGAAATGGGTGACCAGAGATATGCTTGTGGGCCCTCTTATAGCAAAACACGTATTTCCACACCTGCACATTAACAGAGTCAACTCTTCTTAGCTTTGCATTGGCATTTCACCTTCCTGGTTAGGACTGCCTTCTGAAGAGATCCTAATCTCAATTGAGCCTTCCAGAGACACAAAGCATCGTTCATATGAGCATTCACAGGAGCGTGTATGCATCAAACGCACAAGACAAAGATCCCCCGTATAGCCTGTACATCGTTTGTTCGGGCAAGTGCTGCTAGTGAGCACCTAATGAAGGTCAGCACTGTACACGAGGGGTGGGTGGCCAGAACCACACCCGCCCCCCTTTGTCTCCCCATCGGTGAGATTTACACACTGCACCAGGTACTCATTTGAGGCCGAGTCGACCTAGAGGAGGCCCAGGACCGGTTCTGATAATTGTCACTGGTGTTGGCTGTGAGCGGGAGTCGAACTCGGGCCGGCAGGTTCATAGCGCAGCGTAGCGCTAACCACTAACCGCCACACACGGACAAACACATGTACACACGTACACACACACCTACATAAGGGTTAGTACAAAAAAAGTCCACATTAAGCTAATGTTAAGTGTCTTGTCAAACTTTAGATGATCGATAATGCGTCGACACTTTGTACATTCCCAGAGGGAAGAGACCAAGGGGAAAACCCAAGGGCAGATGGTGGGACGCTGTAATAATATAACTTAGGAGGCGGGCTATTGACGATGCAAAAGCTTTGTGCTCTAGCAGAAGGAAGGAAGCGATGGTAAGGTATAGTGGCATGAACCAAATTATCTGCGATGACCTTTTGACTTTGACCAAAAGGATGTACGGATGTTGAACTTATTTCGCACCGGACATTGCTTAACCACATTAATTGGAGGTTTGGGGGAAGGACCACAATCCAAACACAAAAAGCAGTTCTCAATAAATGAGTTTTCAATCAAGATGATTTTCCAGTGGCTTCCTAAAATAGATACCGAGCGGGCTAATCTCCCCTCAAGTAATTGTATTGATCTTGAGGGTGACCATCATAAAAAATATATAAAAATTGTGGGGCTCTATCTACATATAATACATCGGACTGATAGCAGTCGTATACACTTGAGCATGTTGGCAATAATAACACGTTAACCCTCCATTGTCTCTGTGCCACGTGAAACATTCTGCGTACAGAATGGCCGCCGTATTACACGAGTCGCCTGTGGTTTTACAATGAGTCCTTATGAGGGTGAAGGCCATCTCTTTTCTCTCTCACGCTACCAGATGTCTTGATTTGAAGCTTTCGTGACTGCAGGAATCCATGCTCTTTGGTTCTTTCGGTTAAGTCACGTAGGTAGAAAATAAAATAAATCACGACGCTTCGGGCGCAACAGACGCTTGTGTTGCGCCCGAAACGTCGTGATTTATTTTATTTTATACCTACGTGACTTTACCGAAAGAACCAAAGAATATCTTTTTTTTTTCCAAAACTCGGCCGCAAATGATAGCTCAAAGCAGTGGCTTGTCATCGTGTGGAAATATATAGCAGCCAAATACCATAAACGGATGTTGATTTTAAATGTGCAGGGAAAAACCGGATGACCCAGAGAAAAATGCAAATGACCACGGGGAGAACATGCAAACTCTAAATATGCAGGTGTCAGAGTCTGGATCGAACTCACGGCTTCCTGTTTACCAGGCAAGGCAGTTAGCATCTCGCCACCGTGGCACCCAATTTTTGCGAAGACCTATTGAGGCTGGAAAAATCACACAAGTGAGAAGTGGAATCAATGGCATGCACTCCCCGCTGTCTTTGTCTTCTCGCAGCTGGCATGTGTGCAAATACCCACAATGCACGCTGGATAAATGTATTCGCAATGCAAAGGGCCATGCATGATAATGATGATCGTGATGACAGGGCCACGGTACCGGGGAAGTGACCCGGCCACAAATGACAACTCAACGAGGTGACTTATCGCGCGGGAGTTTACAGCGCGCGGTTTTCGTTTGTTTCAAATCGCCAAATCCCAACGTGCTTTTATTTTGTCGTTTTCTCCGCCCCCACCCCCCTCTCTCCCTTGCCATGCGCAGACTCGCGCGACCAGCCCCACCCCACCACGGACATGGAGCCGCTGCGGCCGAGCTCGAGCCGCGGTGACACGCGCAGCAGCCCCGGCGCGCAGAAGGACGGCGGCAGGGCCGTCGGCTTCGGCAAGCGGCCGGGCGGCGACGTCGTGTGCCCTCACCCGCGCTACCCAACGGGATCGTCCTATAATGGCGGCGGCGCGGGAACCCAGAGCCACGTGCCGTTCAGCGTCGACGACCTCATGAGGCCCGACCAGGCGAAGCTGTCCGGAAAATTCACGGCGAGGCTCCCGTCTCCTCAGTACCCCTCCGCCGCTCACCACCACCACCACCACCGCCACACGCCACACGCCGTCTCCTCCACCTCGGCTCCGGCCAAAGCGACGGGGTACCTGCCGCACGTCGCCCGAGCGTACCCGGGCCAGGAGGGCCTCTGCGGCATCTTGGCTCAGCCCCGCATGCCGTTCATGCCCCAGCCGTTTCTGCGGCACCCCGTCGAGCCGTTCCCCCTCCCGCCGTCGTACCCGCCGGGGGTCGGCGCCCCCCACGACTTCGGCGGCAAGTTCTTCCTGCTGCAGGGCGGCATCGGCGCCCTCAACGGCATGCACATGCCCGTGCCGGACGTGTACCACCGCGCGTACGGCCAGCCGCTCAAGAGCGGAGCGCCGCACCACCTGGTCCTGCCGCAGTCGATGTTCCCCCACCCCAGGCCGGCGGACAAGGGCCCCGGCCGCGAACCGGCGCCCGCGCCGTCCCACAAGCCGGGCCGGCTCGTCCCCGCGCCCACCAGCGCCTTCTCGCAGCCGGTGCACGCCCACAAGGAGAACGCGGCCGCGGGCTTCTCCCACGCCTCGTCGGCCGCTCGCCCGCCGCCGGGCGCGTACGCCCCCGCCGGCTACGCGATCCCCTACCGTGGGTCGCCGGCCCGCACCCCGGCCATCTACTCGCCCTCCGCGCCCTTCCAGCTGACGTCCGCGGCGGCGGCGGCGGGGGGCGGCGGCGGCGTCCACCGCCTGCAGTCGCGCTCGCCCTACGGCGGCAACCCGGCGGGCGCGCGCCGCCGCTCGCCCGGCGGCGTCGTCCGCGCCGCGTCATCCGCGTCGCCCGACTCGTCGTCGTCGTCCGCGTCGTCGTCGTCGTCGCTGTTGCCGCTGTCGTCCTCGTCGTCGTCGGTCGCGGGCGACGCCCTCGACGGCGCCTCGCGATCGTTCGGCGGTTCGCGAGCGACGCACCACCACCTGGGCTACCGCTCGCTGCCGTACCCGCTCCGCAAGCACAACGGCAAGATCATCTACGAGTGTAACGTCTGCCGCAAGACCTTCGGCCAGCTCTCCAACCTCAAGGTGGGGACGCGTCGTGGGACGGCCCGCGGAGTGACCGCCGATTGGCCATTGGCTGCGGCGCCGCAAGGTCGGAGGTCGTGTGTCGACACCAGGCACGCGGCCGTCACTCTCCGGACATCTGCGCAAAAAGAGCTTCATAGCTCATCGGATTCCTTCCGCATAAATAAATATTCTGATTCTGATTCTCTCCTGGTGGATTTGATGTTAATATAAATTGTCTCCCCCCCCCACTCCCTCCGGAGGGTTTGATTCTGGCAATTTCTCTATCCAGCGACATTATTGACAAAAACAATATGAACGCACTCATTGGCCATCTGTCAAACCACCCACTGGATGAAGGCCCTCCTGATGCTGTGCCGCTCGTTGGGGTTGTTTGATCGTTCTTCACCATGCTGGTAAAGCTCCGATTTTTTGCCCGTCAATGTTGGCCAAGCCTGCGAATGGGACTCATGAAGTTCATCGTGCGATTGGGTGGAATCGCTGCACCACCGTTGCTCCCCCAACATTTCCATAGATGTAAAAACGTAAGAAAATGGATCCGTGCGCGCCCGAAATTTTTAACACGTTTTTTTGTTTCCCCCTTATTCCAAAACAGGTCCACTTGCGGGTCCACAGCGGCGAACGGCCGTTCAAGTGCCAGACGTGCGGGAAGGGCTTCACGCAGCTGGCGCACCTGCAGAAACACCACCTGGTGCACACCGGAGAGAAGCCCTACCAGTGTCAGGTAACGGGGCAGCCGTGGCCGTCGGGTGGGGGGGGGGGGGGTCCTCAACCACTCCCCACTGCCTCGCACGCACCTGCAACAAAAGACGAAGATTCTCCCCTCCTAGCCTTGACAGGTTTTTGGGGGCCAGTGCCGTTAGTGAGCAGCAGCACCTACGAAGGCCGCCAGGGCACACGAAGGGGGTGGGTGGCCAGCACCGCGCCCGGCCGCCTCTGTCTCCCCGAGTGGCGATGTTTACACACCGCACCAGGTACTCATTTTAGGCTGAGTCGACCTAGGGGCAGGCCCAGGACCGGTTCAGTTAATCGTCGCCGGTGTTGGCAACCGTGAGCGGGAATCGAAACTCGGGGGTCGCCGGGTTCGTAACGGCAGGACGTTAGCCGCTGCGCCACCGCTCCCCACGTGAACACTCGTACCTCGGTCACTTCTCGCCACTACAAGAAGTCCCGTGCAGTGACGTGCGTGCTATTTATGCGCACGCAATTTTTTCGAGGCAGTGCCGAGCCAGAAACTCGTATGACCATCTTGAGAGGGCCAGAGCGTCGCACAAAGTCGGCAGCTGCGGGAACAGTCGGCGGCTTGAATGCCGCCGCTTGCTGGGCTTCAGCTGACGACGCACGCTTGTGCTGGGACGGGCAGAAGCCTTAGAGGTGCACGGTCAGGCTGATCTGCGATGGGTGCAACCAAAATACCTCTCAGGTCTTTTTGAAGGGGGTAGGTTCTGCTATGGTCTAGCATATGAAATGAATTCGCGACTGTAGGTTCCCCATTGCGTGCTCTCAAACACATTTCCAGTGCAAGTGATATTTTTTAACTCATATTTTGCTTTTTCTTGGTTTAACTCGTGGCAGGCTTTCGCGACCAATATTATCCATGATAGAGGTTTTTATGGGTTAGATCGCGTAAATATATAAACGTCGTACTCCGATTGTAAATGTTGTGGCTTGGCTCTCCAACACACCGGTGTGCTGTACTAGTGCCGAATTGGCACGTTCTGTTTACGTGACAACCCTTACTAGTTGGCTGTGTCGGGTGGTGGCGGGTTTTAACGACACATTTATATTTACACGATCTAACCCAGAAACACTCTAATATGATTTTTTTTTACTAGGTAAGGCCCACTGAACTACATCGTTTTTTTTGCGACCTGGCCACAAATCATTGTTCAATGAAGCGGCTTATCACGTGGAAATTTAGAGCAGCCAAATACTCTAATTGCATGTTTCTAAATGTGGAGGGGAAAACCGGAGAGAAAAACCCACGCGACCACGCAGAGAGAACATGCAAACTCCAAATATACAGGCGTCGGGGTAGTGAACATCTCATCACAGTGGCACCCCATTTTTGTGAGCACCTATTGAGGCTGGAAAATCACGTGAGTGAGAAATGGAATCGATGCCATGCACCCCTGGCTGTCTTCATCTTCATATTAAATAAAATTTGAGTTAAAACTTTCGTTACTGCAAAGAATCTGAATATTCATATGAAATGCCCAACAATGCACGCTGGGTACATTTATCAACAACTTAAAGGGCCATAGCATGGACATAGATTATCTCTGATGGTGATGATGAATTAAAACTTTCCGTGGTTGAAGTGGATCTTGGTGCAAATAATTCAATGGGCCCACCACCCCCCTTGTGCAATCTCCAGCCCAGCACAGCGGCTCCTCGTTGGCACCCGGCGCAGTTGCACCGCCTACGTACTCGATAGCTACGCCACGGGCCGGGGATCAACACGCGCACGACACTACGTTCACGGCGGCAGGCGAAATTGGCTTTTGAACACGCGGCCCCCCGAGCTGAGCGCGATGTTAGCCGAGGTGGGCACGAGCGGGCAACAAAGTCAAAAACTGAAAGTGTGGCATGGCACGCCGCGCCATGGAACACCCTGCCGCTCGCCGTCGAATTCTGTGCGTGGTGTCGTCAAATTGGCGACTGCCAGCGTCAGACCTTCCGCCGGACATGCGCGCCCTGCCCCCAAAGAGCTCGGCAAAGAACGGTGCCATGCCGGTAACACCCGTGGGCGGCTACGTATGGTGCGAAAGAAGTTCAATGTGCACACGTTCCGCGAGCGTGAAGTTGAACGTGACATTTGAGCTGCCGCACCGGAGCAGAGCCCGGGGAAAATTAATATTTTTGTTTTTAAAAAATCCAGACACACGTTGTAAGAAGAAGTAGAAGGAAGGGCAATTACTGTCGCGGGGCTTATCGGTACCACCCGCCACGGCGCGGGCAAGTCGTGGCAAGCCCCGTGCTGGCGAAGACATCCTCGCGCACATTGTTGAGAGGCGTTTTAAGATTCGAGGCCGAGGGTGGCGGTGGTGCTGGTGACACAGGCGAACGGCACATAGCAACACAGCCTAAAAATACTCCCTTCCTCATTGTTATTAAGGCGCGCTCAGCTATTGAAAAAAAAAAACCCAGATCCTGATAGGCGGGATGTTTTATGGTTATTAAACGACTGGCTGAGGCTGCCCGGGCGCATTTGTTTGCAACCAGAAACTTTTGCTCGGGCCGTGACAACATTTGATTATCTTTTCACCTGCTTGTCGGAGGGGAATGGCGTGACGCTAAGGGGCTCGGGGAGGGCGGCGGGCTGGGACGGCGATGGCGTAAGACACAACACGTGGTAATCGCCGCGTGTGCGCCTTTCACACCGCTGTGCTCACGAGAAATGTACTCCAGAAGTTCAAGCACATCGTGAGAGTGTGAAAAGAGTGGCAACGTCGGCTAGGGGTTGTGGAATGCGATGCGCATCCCCCCCCCCCCCCCCCGTATATCGAAAGCAGCGCTCTGAACTCTACGGCTCTTCATAATTGTTGGCGGTTTCTCCCTTTTATTTATCTATCTCGTTGTTCGTTCGGTTTCATTCATGTCCACGTGATCCTGGCGAAGCGGCAGCAGCTCGCTCGCCTTGAAATCCTCTACGGCAAGAGGAGAGTGATTACCGCGCACGGCGCACACACCACTCCCGCGCGACGGCAGAGATCGCTCGCGCCGTGCGTCCGTGCCTTGCTGATGACTCCCAAAAGATTTAATCCTCTGGGGGGTGGTGGGGCATTGTGGACAAACACAATCCATTTTTCCTTGTCAACTGCTCCCTTTGCCTTTTTATCAATGGGATAACAAAGCTGAATTACATCGTGGGCCTTAATTGGCGATGGAAATCTATGCTGCAAGAGTGACCCTCGTGGCTTGTTGTCCCTCCCTCCTTGAATGAACGCAAGCGCAAGAATGAACTACAGTGGTGGAACTCCGAGTTGTGTTTAAGCGCAGCGCAAGAACTAACGACCGACTTGGTACTCGGAATTGTACCTGACTCAAAAATGAAAAAAACACACCGGAAGAAGAATTGTGCCACCTAGGATGCCCTATTCACATGATTTTAAAGAGCACTCGTTATGTTGCTCAAGAGCGTGTGGCTTGAAATGGGTGACAAGGCAAAGGCGGCTGTGCACTGCCCTGCATTGTTGAGGATTCCGATGTTTTTTTTTGCCGGCCAAAGTCATTATTATATTTTTGTTTGCGCGAAGCATGCAGTCTAATTTGTACTTCGGAGAACTGGGTTAGGCAAGGCCAGCGTAAATGGGAAAGGAGTGTCGTGAAAAACGCAAGTGCAATAAATCGTGAAAAGTGACAACCCCAGACGCCCACATACGCTCACACACCCCATCTGCAGCAAAAGACAAAGAGTCCCCGTGTAGCCTTGACAGACAAGGGCTGTTAGCGAGTACCTAATGAAGGTGACACATCCGCAACGCACGCTCTCTATTCTCATGCACACCCACACACACATCTATCCCAAACACACACAATCACACCCTATTCACACACACGCGCATACATACCACGCGACCACGGCGTGAACATGCAAACTCCAAATATACAAATGTCAGGGTTGGCCCACTGAGCTATGTAGCTCTTTTCCAGAAGCGACCTGGCCACAAATGATAGCTCAACAAAGTGGCTTATCACGTGGAAATGTATAGCAGCCAAAAATTATAAACGCATTCATAAATCAGAGGACTCAGAGAAATATCCACGAGGACCACGGGGAGAGAGAAAGAGAGAGACACGCAAACTCAAAATATACAGCAGTAGGTGTCAGGGTTGGGATCGAAGCAACAACCTCCTGTATACCAGGCGAGGTAGTTAACATCTCGCCACCATGGCGTCATTGCAGGTTATTGAAGGAAGGGGTGGGAGTGGCACGAGACCGGTTTAGATAACTCTCTCCACTCTTGCCAAGCCCGGCCACGGAACCCAACTCATGGCACCAGGTTGAACGCGCAATGCACTCTGCACGGACACACCACCAGACCGCCCTTTCCGTATGCACGCGTAAAACAAATGACGCACGCATTGCAGATAAAGTTCCCACTAAGAAGCCAGAAATACGTCAATATTTTTTTTTCTTTGAATAGGTGGGGTGGTGGTAATTATTTTTAATCATATTTAATTATTAATTAACAATGCCAATTTTTTTTATAGTGCGAGCCACGTAACCTGTTGGAAGCAAAACTTGAGGTCGCTATTATTATTTTTATTACAAAAAAACCCCCACAATTAACGCGAGACAAACTCTCAAGTGTGATCGCGTGTGTTTTTGGTTTCCACGGAACTCGGGTGTGCAGTGCCGACGAGCCTGCAACTACCGCCCACTCACATTCACCAGTGTCACACGTGTCCCAGCGCTCCCTGCGCTTGCGTTGCGACGGCTCTTACCGAGCTCTCTCTTGCAACGCTGAACGCGAGGACGGACGTGCAGGAGGGATGTGGAATGCAGCTTGTGCTGGTCGGGGGTTCGCGGGTGCCCTTGTGAGGAGGCAAGAGAAACGATGGGCCTCATGATTGAATACAGGAGAGAGCTGTTCTTGCTCATTTACAATTATTCACCCAGAAGGGTTCGGTCCGAGCCGGTGTTGCGATAGTTTGGCCGGTACCAGGCACGAGCATTGGCTTATGGGAGGAAACTGGAGTAACCTGGGGAAAACCCATGCACGTGAGGAGGTAACACTCAAAAGCTCTGCGGCGATAGATTCGAGAATTCACAGCTGTGCTGCCACCTCCTGGCAAGCTTCGCAGCACCTTGACGTCAAAACGTTTTGCACATTTTGCTTCGCTCGTTGACTCTGACGTGTATCCGCCCCCACCCCGTCTCACCTCGTCCCTGCCCTGTCCCTGCGGCCGATTCAGGTTTGCCACAAGCGCTTCAGCAGCACGAGCAACCTGAAGACCCACCTGCGGCTGCACTCGGGCGAGAAGCCCTTCCAGTGCAAGCTGTGCCCGGCCAAGTTCACGCAATTCATCCACCTGAAGCAACACCGCCACCTGCACGCTCGCGAGCGGCCCCACCGCTGCCCCGGCTGTCAGCAGAGCTACATCCACCAGATCAGCCTGACCATGCACCTCAGAGGCTTCTGCCCGTCCCAGCACAAGCGTGCGACGTCAGCCGAAGCCCGGGGGGGCCCCCTGCCCGCCGACCGTTCCACCGCGGCGGCCGAATTCGCGACGCTCGCTCCCTCTCAAGACGTCCTCGCGAGCTTCCGGCCCAGCACTGCCGCCGCGCATCCGCCGTCCGGGGCGGCGGGTCCCGGCCAGCTAGCTGGTCCCGGCGGCGGCGACCCCCGGCCGGGCTTCCCGAAGGACCCGCGCCCTGACGTGTCGCCGGAGTACTTGGCGTTGGTGAACCAGAAGATCGAAGCGTTCGACCTCAGCGAGGAGGCCGCGAGAGCCGGGGAAGACTCCAAGGTCGAAGCCCAAGTGGAGGCGAGGATCCTGAGCAGGTTCTGCAAGGCGCTGTCGTTGGAGGGCCGAGCCTTCTCAAGCGCCGACGGGCAGCCAGCGAGGAAATTGACCCAGCGGAACGGAGCAGCAGCAGCAGCGCAATGGACACTCGCCGCCGGACGTCAAAGACGAACGCCGTGCAATGTCGGTCACGTCCCCGTCGCCGCCGCCGGTCGCCGGCAACAACGGCGCCATCGGCACCACCGCGGACCAAACTCGACGCTCGCCGATCGTCAGCAGCGCGGCGGCGGATTGTCACTCCGCCGCGAGAGGAACGGACGATGCGACGGTATTGGCACGTCGGTCTCCCATGGTGCATTCCGGCTGGAGACTGAAGCTGCTGCCGGATTCGCCGTCTTCTCTCAAGATCAAGGAGGAGCATAAACCGGCCGATGCCTGATTTGCGTCCTGAACGGGAGCGAGAGCGCTCAGCGAGTTGGTTCGTGGTTGTTGTTGTTGGTGGGTGGGGGGGGGTTTCTCGATTTCAAACATGTATTACGGCATGGTTAATTGGCACAGCTTTTTGTCAGTGGTGTCAATGGGGGGGAGGGGGGCAACCCCCCCCCCCTCCTCCATACAAAACAATAAAAACAAAGCTGTGGCCTCATTGCACACCCTGGGCATGTCTCGGCAAAGCGATTTGGAAATGCGCAACTGCACTTTGCTGCACGCGCGCCCGCACACGCGCGTGCACGTCTCTGTGTGTGTTATTGTTGTGGCGGTGGTGATGATGATGATGTGGGTGGGCAGTGTGGGAATGCAGCGGTCAGCGCGCTGCGCTACAAGCCCGCTGACCCCGAGGTTCAATTCCCCGCTCTCACGGCCAACACCGGTGGTGACGATTATCTGAACCGGTACCTGGGCCTCAACCTCGGTGGGACTTGGCCTCGAACCGAGTACCCGGTGTGTAAAACCATGGCCACTCGGCAGAGAGACAAAGGCGGCCGGTAGCGGTGCCGGGCCACCCACTCCCCCCTAGGTGCTGCTTGTTAACAGCACTTGGCCCAACAGCGCGTGAAGGCTACACGTGGCGGGCGGTGGTGGAGGGGGCTGGGAGGGCGGGAGATCTGTGTCTTTGTGTATTTTACGATGTCATTTTCCTTTGGGAGGCCCCTCCACTCCGTTGAGATTGAATCACCGAGCTCCACCCTTGACATCGAGTGACCAATGAAGGAAGACGAATGAGACGGGACAAGGAGGCAGTCGTGAGTTTACACTTTCTCTCGCGCGCAGCACCACCACACGCGCCTGCCACTCGGCTGGAGCCTTGCAAAATCACTCACTTTTTTACGAACTCTAAATGCAATGCAAACGAGTGTAGGACGTGTACAATGTAATAACAAACAAACAAAAACCGTGCAGGGAATCGTTAACGAACCAAAGTTGAACGCTTTGAATGTTTACAGGGGGAGGAGAAGGAGGGGAAAAAAATGATGACACGCAATTTAAAAAACAAAAGGAACAACACGGCACCAGATTTTATTTTTTCCCGACGGGATGGGATGCGTCATGTTGTGCTCATGGGGAGAATGTTGAGCTGTCGGAATGTCCGTGCGTGGTCGTTTCGTTTCGTTGTACAGAAGCTGTTGTGTTGTACAGAAGCCGTTGTGTTGCACAGCAGCCGCTGTGTTGTACAGAAGCCGTTGTGCACGATGGCTGTTTGCTCGGCCAGCACTCCTTGAGGAAGCTGCGCAGAAATGTTAACCGAGAAAAGGGGAAAGCCTCTTAATCACATCAGCGTCGGTCATTTTTTGCCTTTACCGAAAGTGATAGTTGAATTCCCGGAGTGGAGGAGTGGGGAGTAGGCACCACGTCTACTGAGTGGAGGAGTGGGGAGTAGGTACCACGTCTACAGAGTAGAGGAGTGGGGAGTAGGCACCACGTCTACTGAGTGGAGGAGTGGGGAGTAGGCACCACGTCTACTGAGTGGTGGAGTGGGGAGTAGGCACCACGTCTACTGAGTGGAGGATTGGGGAGTAGGCACCACGTCTACTGAGTGGTGGAGTGGGGAGTAGGCACCACGTCTACTGAGTGGTGGAGTGGGGAGTAGGCACCACGTCTACTGAGTGGAGGAGTGGGGAGTAGGCACCACGTCTTGTCGGAGCTAAAGCGGCACTGGGGAGTGAAACCCCCTGGCACTTTTGGGATGTGGTCCAGCCCCGTGGCTGTGCCCATTTGACTCCGGTGGCAGATTCACGGCACGGGCTGCGATTTCCCGCAAATCGCAAACTGGGGGAGTGGGGGGGGGCGTTTAATCTTTGACGCACGACCGAGGGCCAGATGCTGAAAAACTCGCCGTGGCTAGCCGACATGAAGGCATTTTTATTTTATTTCATACCAATTATAGATATTTTTTTTGGTATGAAAATTTCCTTATCGGGACGAGTTACGCGGCGGGCAAAATATTCGAGCTCTGTCAAGTACGGCCGTAGGAGTTCGAGCGCGCCTGCGTGCGTGTGCGATTGTTTTATTTTAAAGTGACAAACGCGCAGGATGATGATGACGACGAAGATGATGATGGAGACTTTGCAATGCAAAACCAATCCCCTCCAGCAGGAAAGAGCTGCACTTGGTACGGTTAAAGTACGAGTCTGCAAGGTGTGATGGCTTACCTACAGGATAGGGCTGGTCTCTGTTCTCAGCCCTTTGAGCACCTCTCATATATGCGTTCTATACTGTATATGTGTGTGCAACTCCGTACGTAGGCTGAACATGAAGTACTGTACTGTGAACAGTATCATCATATGTATTTGTATGTTTGCGCACGTATGTGTGTGTGTCTTTGGGGAGCGGTGGTGCAGCGGTTAACGCGCTGCACAACGAACCCGGCGACCCGAGTTCGATTCCCGCTCACGGCCAACACCAGTGACGATCATCTGAACCGGTCATGGGCCCCCCCTAGGTCGATTCGGCCTCAAATGAATACCCGGTGCGGCGTGTAAACATCGCCACTGGGGAGACAAAGGCGGCCGGGCGTGGTGTTGGCGGGCCACCCACCCCCTCGTGTGCCGAGTGGGCCTTCGTAGGTGCTCGCTAACAGCACTTGCCCCAATAGTCTTTTAAGGCTATACGGGGTGGGGGGGTGTCTTTGTTTTTTTGTACATCACTGACGCTCATCTCTTGCGTGCCCCCCTCCCATCGAAGCATTCTTGTTGTGCCACTGCTGAGCAGTGTGAATATTTAATTGAAGGCACGATCACACATCGCCACCTTGACTGAAAACACGATGAAAGCTCTGCTGAAACACAACCGTCGTGGCAATCAATGGCTTATGAAAGATTGAGTGAAATATTACTCGTGTGCAATGATGTGGCCAATTATTGCCCTTCTAGAGCGATAGCATAGAAGTTGGGACATGTATCAGTGGAAAGGGTTTGTAATATTTACTGAGAGATTTATACGTAAATTTTGAACATTTTATATAGGTACGTGTTGCAGATACACATATGTATTTATATCTTGGTGTTCTTTTTAACACGATAGTTTAGGAATTAAAAGGGCAATAAAAATTATACTTTTCACTATTATATTTGTTTCTCTAAGTTGAGAATAAGAGAAATAGCAATAATATCTTCGTTTCATTAAGAATGCCGTTTAAATATTGCAACAAAGCTGATATGAAGTGCATTACAATTTAGGGCTGATGCTGTACGTACCTTCTTTATTGAAACATTGTTGTCGGTCTTAACTCAGGGTTATACTTAGAGAGAACGCGTGCGTGGCCGTGTACCCTAAGTCTGTTAACACTCGTGCATGACCTTTGTAAACACACGTGGACTCTTACCCTGGAATAAGCACTCCCCCCCCTCCGTCTTGCAATTGCTGCAAACTTGGGCGCTCCCAATCCCGCTGCGGGGAAGTTGGTGCAGTCTTAAGGCCCACGACGCACGATGTGGAAAGCACCCCTCTCCTCTGAGGGTCGTCGCCAGAAACGTCTTTTTACGGTGGCACAGAGCGATGGAGATCTGCCCGGCCCAGTGTGTGCCGGTGATCAATGATTGGTTGTCAGAGCGCACAACCTCGTGTAGTCATGTGACCTCTGTGATCCGTTTTGGAAGGTTAGGGTTGGCCCCTATAGTGGGAGCAGTGATTTAAATTTGTCCAGATTTGGGCAATTATATATATTAGTAATGATACAATTTTGTAAAAAAAAATGTGTAGTTCAATTTCCCCAGTGTATTCTGGCCATTTTATGGAACATTAAATGGACTTGCTGCGATTAGATTGACCTATGCGGTGTAGGTCCCTCTATCATTCCTGACTGTTAACAGACTTTGGTATATTCCTTATTTAACATATCGGTTGGAGATTAGTCATGTATACTTTTTTAACATACCGTAACTACGATACCTGTACATTGCATAGTAACGTTGTGTTTATTTAGGATGGTTCTGTTGGGTACTTGATGCATAACCATTTGTGTACTTTCTTCCTTAATATATATTTGATTACTGAAAACTGTGGATGTTTATCCTTTCTGCACTTTAAAGAAGAATAACTGCATTTTACATTTTTCGTTTATTCTCGTGGGAAAAGTATATTCAATTGTACACATGGTGTCACCGTTTTATCAGTCGTCGATTAAGGTTATATTTATTAATATTTCAGGGAATCCAATCTTATTTATGACGCTGCTGCTTTCGTCCGCCGTTTTGTGTGAACACCCCTCTGCGGATACGGTTGTTATCCCGCATTCCTAAATCCGCGCTCGTGAAACGTTCATTGCATTTTGACGTTCTCGAAGGCCAAGCGGTGGCGACGGATGACGATGTCACAGTTCGTGGCTTTTTTGAAGTTTGCACTGTTTTCGATTGTCACGGGAAGGCGGACTGGAACTTTCATGAGGATGTTATCAACTAGACCCCCCTAATAACGGATAACGTGCGTTCGGATGAATGTCACGTCCATAAATGTGTACTCCGCTAAGTTCCTCTGTGCTCAGTTGGTTTAAAAAATCTCGTCTTTATTTTGTTTTGCTTACATGTATCTGCTGCTCATAAAAAATCCCTTTTGTTTGTTGTTGTTGATATAAATCATGAATCCATCATCGCCGTCGTCGTAAGCCATTGTCTATCCACTGCTGGATGAAAGCCTCCAGAATTGCGATGCCACGATCCATCTCACAAACCCCATCTCATCGCTCCGTCTCCATATTGGTCAGTGTCTCGGGTGCATTCTCTCCGTTGACTGCCAGTCCACAGCGCCAGCCTTGCCCACTGGAAACGTCCTCCTTTTTCCCATCCCACTTCACCTCCCCTGACGGCAAGTGTCGTCGTCGTCTTCGTCACCGATGTGCATTTCTTCTCTGCTCGACGTGCGCTTCGTTCTCTCGTTCAGCGGTTCGGAGCACACATCTCCTCCATCCACGCTGGCTCGCTCGTCGGCATCGGTTTGGTCACTTTCATACGCTTCTCTTCTGAGCGGGCACATTACCGGCCGCGGGTGGGCGACGCGCCCCGATCGTGAAGGCTTGCCTGCGC